TTGTCCCAGGAACAACCTTGTCTTGAATTATTGGAAGAAGGGTGGCGGCATCACGGCGTTCGACTATCTGCATATATCCAATGGATGGTTTAAAAAACCTATCCAACATACCAAACACCCATCTTTCTTCAGCTGGGGCCCTTCCACGATGATGCTTACACTTATGGCAAAATAAACTTTCGTCAATTTCAACCACAGTGCCTGGACCGCCCAACTCGATGTCTTCGCCCATCATCTTTGTACTGCACACTTCACGCAAAAAGTTGCAATAGTCTACTAGCGACTGGCGAGACACTCCAGTCTCAGTACCAATTTTCCTTGCCGGGTAGTCCATAGCCCATTTTAGAATAATTTTTAAAAGAATGTCCAAACGTAAACGTGACTCAAAAAAAAGATCCATGTCTAATTGAAAATCGGGTTCGAAATTTTGCGTAATCCTCGAGTGAGAGTTTTCTTTAATCATCTGATAATGCTGAAATGTTGACTTTTGAGAGAATATTTAGTACATGGAACAATTACTTGTAACGCAAATTGGGAAAATCTTTATAAACTCTATAGTAGTGAGCGGCGAACATTTGTTTTTTCCCCCGTTCATTATTAAAACATATTAGCAGAATCAAAATCGGAAGCGACCTGACTACGTTTTAAGTTTGTAGATTTCCCAATACCCACCTCGTCCCTAATGGCCCATTCCCCACTTGTCTCTCCAACAACCAACGCCATGCTCATTGCATTACTGTGTTGTATCGTTTCAACCAGGCAAAGTGGTTACGATACAGTGACGTGTATTGTTTTAACGTGATAATTTACATAGCAACGACATTCATCCACTCACACGTAAATTAAAACCTATTGTTTACGGTATTCTCTTTTTGGAGGATGTGGTGGCCCTGAAAAGGGCCGTTTGGTTAGGTTTGTTTGCAAGCAAGCTCGCTCACTTCTTTTTGGGAGCAGCTTTCTTTGCTGGCTTCTTTGCCTTCTTTGTTGGCGTTTTCTTGGCGGGCTTCTTTGCTACCTGTGGTTTCTTTGCTGGCGACTTTTTTGCTTTCTTTGGGGTCTTGGCCTTTGGTTTCTTTGCCTTTGGCTTCTTCGTCGCTGCCTTTGGTGTTTTGGCTTTTGGTTTCTTTGCCTTGGGTTTCTTTGGTGTCTTAGGCTTCTTTGCCTTCTTCTCAGCCGTAACTTTAGCTTTCAACTTGAAGCTACCAGACGCACCAGTACCCTTGGTTTGCACAAATTTTCCATCGGCAACACCAGACTTCAGAGCACGACGAATAAATGGAGTGATCTTGTCAAGGTCGACTTTGTAGTTAGCACCGACGTATTTCTTGATGGCGTGAAGAGAAGACCCTTGGCGTTCTTTCAAGTTGGTGATAGCAGCAACAACCATATCGATGGTTTTAGGATGGGCAGCCGGTGCCTTTGGCTTCTTTGGCTTGGTAGCCTTCTTCTGTGGAGCAGGTACTGTGTCAGACATCGCGATAGATTAGTTGTTCACTGTATAGAGTCAGGAAGTAATCTGAACTTCCCGCTTAATGACCGACCTTTATTCTCTTGTAGCGAACGTCGGAGAAGACATGGCCCATTCATTGCTACGACAAAATGGTGCGCGTCCATTCTGTTGTTTAGTTTGTGTTTCAGAGTAAAGCTAAAACAGTTCGCCTGCTCTCATCTGGCTCGATGAAAGCCCTAAATTGTGCTATTCGATTTCAACAGACTTTGGACTTGTGGTTAAACTCATTAACTATGTTAGTTGTATTTATATCTTGAGAGAAATCGATGTTCAAAGTTCAGAGTACAAAAACAAATTCTCCGTTAAACTTGTTTGTCGGATAAATTTTCTATGAAGACGACACCTACACAAGTAAATAAGTACTAAAAGTTATATTTCAGAATATCTATCAATCGAAATTAAAGGCTTTTCTTGATGTTAATGAAAATTAAGGTGAGTTTTTGAAGTTTGAAAAACATGTGGTAAGCACACTTTGGACCATTTCCGACATGGCCGAGGAGGGCGTCGAGGCCCAACATGGGCCTCAATCATATATCGTCTATTTTTCCACATATTGTGTAAATTTTTAAAAGAAAATCTTACTGAGTGCATGTGCAGTCATTACATAACATTGTTTATGTTTGATTATTAGTATTTTTTTCATACTCATAAAATTGACAAAACCTAGAATGTGTGTGCACTCACTGTGCCTGTTTTTGGACGGTTATAGATTCGAACACATTCCTTTGCCAACAGAACCACCGAATGCGTCAAACTAAAAAGCTACCAACCAATTTGATTGAAAACATGATAAGATAAATAACAATCTATATAGAATAAGAGTGATTTTTTGGTGGTTACACTGCTTTTGCTAAAGCCTACGAGTTTTCGTCACGGTACATTCGTTCTTATTTCGATTTTGAATCGAGCAACTTTTTTAGCAACAGGGGTAAAACGTGTTCAACCTTATCTGTGATTGTGACATACTCTTGAAGTAACTAAGTGTATTTATTTACTAATAAGTCGTATGTTACTATCAGCCCAACAAAGGCATTCTCCTCAATTTTATGAATATTTACAATTCAAACTGAGATGACAGGTTTCCTTTGACCGGTTGAATGACATTTGAACGTTTCTCTTGATAAACATAATTTCCGTGTCATATATTGCATAATAAAGAGCGCAAATTAAAGATTAGAATGTTAATTTTTTTTTGGAACATTAACCTCAATTATTCATGTTAGATCTTACCTTTCCCCTGTTACGTAATAGTTGTGTTAACAAAACTCAAGTTTATTATTTAAAATCATTCGTTCGCTCTCACTGAAATGTGGAATACTAGTATATCATGGTGTAACTGCTTTGTAACATCATGATTTGGAGTTCCATAGTGACATAATTCGACATTTTCTTCTGTTAAACGTTGATTGCAGGAAAGCCATGCACAGTTTGGATGACGATTCTGTCTTGACCAGGTTACAACACAGTTCATCTATGATAAACCATGGAAGTAATAAGACCTCCATGGATAGACAGACTGGGATAACATGATGGTTATTCGTTTTGTTCATGGTTACTAAAAAGTAACCGTGTTTTGTTCTTGTTGGAATGGCATGTTAAACTTATCAATAAGTCGCATGCAGCTGTCTCAACGAGGCTCGAAACTAGTGTTGTTATCTTGGGAGCCTAGCTTAGTTACCGATTTGAAAAGAAGGAAGACGCATGGTGATGTTGGAGCACACAAGCTGCACTTGATTGGTACATTGTTTTTAATTCTTCAGTTCCTTTAGTTTCTTTATCATTGCAGTAAATTTACATATACAAAAATAAAAAAAAAATATGTATTCCTGAAAACAGTTACAGTATGCGTTAGGCAGTTACAGAGGTAATTATCACAACGTGTCAATAATTGGTGATCTCAGATACTATATACATGTACTAGTATCCAAACACAATTTAGAAGAATAACCGTGATACAAACTGACATATTTTGTGCCGGACATTCTTACACATTTCAATGTGTTGGGGCCAGTGAAAAGTCACTCATAGATTTGGTAAAACCAATCGGCCCTACGATGGTAAATATAATTTTCTAAGATGTTATAAAAAGAGAAAAATTAAAAGGAAACGGTGTTCGTCTATATTAATATGGTAGACATTGCAATAATGTGACAACATTCAACTCCATTTTCCCTCTTTTATTTTCAGTGGTTGACACATTATGATATTTACACTAGGCTATTCATGAAAGCCCGTGTAATTGTGAAATTATGTAAATTGTCATGATCATAAGTCTCCTTGCGTTCGCCATTGTTTAGTTTCTTTTGTCTATTTTTGTCCGGCTTTTGTTTCCGATGTTTCATTTATTTTGTCTTTGTTGTCAGATTGCGCATGCTCAACCCAGTTATGAATTTCACTGATTTTTTACTTCTCGTTCTAACTGTTTCATCTAACCGATTTTTCGTGGTTAAAGAAAGCTTTTAATTCTGTTTTTTTTTTATTCTTGACTTTCGCACCCTGTGTTGATCACGAGTTGATTCTTTTGTATGATCAAAGATGCACAACGCCTGTGGGTTATTTACGTCCAGAATAAACTTTTCTTGATTTGTGATCGCTTGTTACTGTAGTGTGTCTTTTTACCTTTGAATTAATTGCAAGTTGAACATGAGATGTTGCGAAATTATATTTCCGGCACCCAAGTCACAAAGTCACCTAGAGTTGGTTGTCTCTGAACACAATTTCAATGTGCATGTGTGTGCACTACATTTTGGTAAAACAGAACATTCGATGGTTTACTACTAGTCATCACAAAATAAAAAACAAGAATTTGAGTCAGAATTATTAACATCTTCTAAGATTGGGCCCAAGCCAAGCTGGGAACTAATACAAACACACAAACAAAAGAACAACTCATAGTAATTTGGAGCAGACATTACAAAAAATAATATGTTATGGATAGTTTATCCATGGAATTTACTAACGTTAGTACCTTCCATGCTTTATCTAAAAGTGAATATTCTATCAAAATGCAATATATAGAGATGAAATTTCAGCAATATGAAAACGAATTTATTTTATGGTCAAAACCAGATCCCAATATGAATTGAAATGACACTCGTTCTTATCTATATCATTCTGTTAGCTAAAAGTGGCACTAAGAGAATTTCACGCAAATTGTCGAAAATTAGTGCTACAAAATCGAGTTAATAATCGTTGGCCGCCATGGACGGAAATGCACGAGATTGTGCTTCCAACTTGTTTTTCAAACTGAAAAAACTGATCTGAATTTTTATCACAGTATTGATTTTTCATTTATTTAAGTAAACAGACATTCAAAAATACATTTTGAGGCAATTTTTCGCTCGTCATGAATTCATTTACTGAGTAAACTTATCAGACAAAGTTTTTTAATGAAGTTTTTTAGTCATCATTGTGAACTTTGGTCATCGATTTATCTGAAAATATAATTACAGTTTACATTTTAATGACTTTAATTTCAGGCCCCATGTCTGTACAAATGAAATAACAAAATTCGGGGCCTTAGCTGAGTCAGATGAGAACAAACGAACTGTTTTAACTTCACTCTGAAACACAAACTAATGCAACAGAATGGACGAGCGCCATATTATTAGCCATGAATAAGTTGTGTTCTCTCCGACGTTCGCTATAATGGGATAAAGGCCACGTCATTCGGCGGGAAATTCAGATTACCTCCTGACTCTATACAGTGAACAACTAATCTACCACGATGTCTGACGCAGCACCTGCTCCACAGAAAAAGGCTACCAAGCCAAAGAAGCCAAAGGCACCGGCTACCCATCCAAAAACCATCGATATGGTTGTTGCTGCTATCACCAACCTGAAAGATCGCAAAGGGTCTTCTCTTCAGGCCATCAAGAAATACGTCGGTGCTAACTACAAAGTCGACCTTGACAAGATCACTCCATTTATTCGTCGTGCTCTGAAGTCTGGTGTTACCGATGGAAAATTTGTGCAAACCAAGGGTACTGGTGCGTCTGGTAGTTTCAAGCTGAAAGATAAAGTTAAGGCCGAGAAGAAAGCAAAGAAGCCAAAGACACCAAAGAAACCCAAGGCTAAGACACCAAAGGCAGCGACGAAAAAGCCAAAGGCAAAGAAACCAAAAGCCAAGACACCGAAGAAAGCAAAGAAGTCGCCAGCAAAGAAATCAAAGACAGCAAAGAAACCAAAGGCAGCAAAGAAGCCCGCCAAAAAAGCGCCAGCAAAGAAGGCAAAAAAGCCAGCAAAAAAAGCTGCTCCAAAAAAAAAGTGAGCGAACATGCTTACCATACCAAACGGCCCTTTTCAGGGCCACCACATCCTCCAAAAAGAGAATACCGTAAACAATAATGTGTTTGAATTTACCCTGGACGTACATCCATGAATCTACGTATGAATGGGTACATGTATAAATTATCAGGTTGAAACAATGCACTGTAGTTCGTAACCGCCTCGTTGAAACAAGGCATGTTTACATTTTTTATTGTAACAATGTATGTTAAATAATGGCCAGTAATCCTCTCAAGTTGAAACAATGTATGTTAATGAGTACATTCTGGCAGCTATATAAACATTACAAAGATGTATCAGACTATGAGAATGCGATGTACTATGTAACTATGGATCCTTTTACGGTATATATTCTTGAAAGACAGTATCCTATGTGACTCAGCTCCGGGAGTCATCTTAACTTTAGTCTCACGAATGAGGCTGTTTTAGTCACAGTCCCTCCACTTGTGAAGGGACCGTGTTTTAGTGGTGATATTTGCATTGGGAATTGAAGGCAACCCCAATGAAAACGAACATTTACATTCACATAAATCACAGTCCCTCTAATGCACACAGAGTAATCATGTGGGCGGTTGAAAGATTTTTTGAAAACAAATCTAAAGCTAGACACAAAGAGAGAGAAAAAGAATTGCCGGGAAAAAAATGTTGACATATTCAATAAAACTAAAAATGTAGGAATGAAAAGCTCCCAAAAAGTTGCACTGGTCATACATGCTCTTCCAGCCATCCCCATATTTTAATACTTAGGTGACTTCTATTTTGTCATGATCCTATATGTAATATAGCAAACTGGTGTTCATTTATTTGCCAAGACCCTGGACATTGTATTTGGACAAGAACATGAATCTGACAATTGAAAACAAGTACAGGTAACTGGATTTAACATTCGCAGGATATGCAGAACAGATTTTAGTGGCGATACTCTTGTTTATTTCAGACCACAACTTTCCTAAGCAATGTAAATGAATATCTGAGTGCTCTTATTTAAAAATAATGCACAGTGTCGCCCAGTAAATTACCCATTCCGGTTTCACCGTGGGAATCACCACGCTTTCCTTAGCACATGAAAGTCCCATGGGCTGACACTGCCAAGTGTGACCAAGCTAGAGAATTTTCATTGTTACTTCATAGTTAAGTAACCAGCCAATAAGAAAACGTTTCACTTTTTGACTGCAAGGGCATTATCCAAACTAAGAAAACCACCTAGAACAGTCTGATGCACTCTTTTCATCACTACACTAGCATGACTCTCCTTTTGAAAATGTCTGCCATGTTAAAAATGGCTATTCTGAACATAGTAGTGATCAGGTGCACTATGCTCTCAAAATCTTTTCAAGATAGACTCAATTGCAAGAGTGACAATTAGCAGTTCTGCTTAAGTGATAGGCAAAACTTGTCATCAAGCCAATTAAGTACAATTGTGTGTAGGAACCGTATCAGCACTTTCTGTGGATAATCAAGCAAAAGAAATGCGCAATTGCCAATGTTTTTTTTTATAGAAACTATCCAAATAGAAAAGCAAAATAATCATTTTCTGTCTAAGTGACATGATTTATTGGTCTTTCCTGTTTTTGATTATTACTAGAGATGTTCAAACTCCCGCTGTGCACCTGTTCAGAATACAACAATGTTTGAGTATTCAATTCACCTGTGGCAGAGACTAATTCAGCACATTAGGTTGACGCTTGGAGAATGGCACTACAGTTCTGGTTAATAGTACGGCAGCGGAAAAAAGATGTGTGCAAGGTTTATAAAAAAAACAACAAATGTCAGTTCCTTTAAATTTTCGCCATTAACAGGTACCATTCAATTCTGTAATTCAAATTGTCTACAGGACTACACACATCAACAAATTGAGCGACTAACAATACTAGTGATTTTATGCTACAATTGCCTGCATGTAGAGATTCATCCACGACATGTTAAAATACACAAACCGGAAATGCACCACTGATTCATTCAACTTGGGCCTTTAGGCCAGACTTTGTTTATTCCTTGTTTCTCGAGTTTTTATAAGGCAATATTTTTTGAGGCCGAAAAAGTAAAATAAAAATTTTTTCCCCATTAGATTTGTGTGATTCTCAAAGAATTGTAAGTGAGATCATTGGTCGGAGAGAAGAAATAAAATAAAATTTTATTCCATGTATAACCTTGTTTCTCATCTGCGCGAGACTTCGGTACTTTGACGCTGAAATAAAATTTTATTTTTATCTAATTTTTGGCTCCTGTTCATTCGGTGAGTTCGCAAAACAAGGGATAATGAAAGTCTGGCCTTAATAGCCTACGAGTAGAAAAATATCAAAGTTACCCTCCTAATGATGATTTCCAGCATTCCTCTGTCCTAATTCAGATTTTTTGCAATCTACCTTTAAAAAATACAAGTTTAGATAACTGGGCTAAAACATAATAGGATCATGGCAGATAGTTATAGGTAGCTTTATTGTTGTTACAATTTGAACATGATGCCATGGGAGGGGGGTTTACAGGGCTTAATAAAATGCAGATTCAGAATAAAATATACAAAACTGTTTATTGTTCTCTAAAAAAAATAACAATGGTACTTTCGAATTACATTGTTACACTGAACATAAATTCCTATTCGTAATGCAGTCTCATTGTACAATTGCAACGAAATGCTTGAATATTACAACCAAAAATAATAAAAGAAAGTCCCTCCCAAACATTCCCCCGAAAACAAGAAATTGAAAGTTTGCATGATACTTAAAACAAATTATTTTCCGGTATTCTTCAGGAATGTGAATAAACCAATAAATATTGGCAGTACCAATAGAAGAGCACCCCTTCTGAATCTGTAGCTCAAGTGAAGTCATCAAACCAATTGTAACTGTGCAGGTCATTATTATGTCACTCTGTCCAAGGCCTCCAGCATAATTATACTATTCCCACGGATAACCTGTGAATTGAAACCAAACACCATATAAAAGGTAAATTCTGAGGAGTTAGCAGAAAAATATTTACATCTGAACAATAACTAAATTTCATGGGTACTAATGAGAAAATTTAATTTGAAAACTAATATGGCAGCAACACTGACGCTGTGTATCAAATGTTAGACACGGTCCCCAAAATGTGGCGTTTTGAAGTCAAGACAAATGTGCAATAACTGTTGGTTTTCTGTAAACATGGAGTTTAAACAAAGAACA